ATCTCAGGGGTAAGCCACCATACCTAGCTCTTGAACATTTTTCAATGTTGGTATGAATAGACCTATCTCATTCTTTTAATGTTTACATTGCACTCAAATCTACTATTATTAAATATTTGTTTCTAAGAATAGCAGCAGTAACAAAAATCTGTAGCAATTTATTTATGCAAGAATTTCATAGTTTACATTTTTGGAAGTTGAATTTATAGGTAAAAAATGTAAGCACATGTTAAATTTTAGCAAATATTAGCTAATTGCTCTCCAAAGAGCAGGTATTAATATATATTTCTACCAATAGCCTGGCAATGCCAGTTTCCCAGCATGCTCACAAACATAGGATGCCAAAAACCTGTGTTTACCTAATAGATGAAAACACCACACTCCTTTTTATTGGCCTTTCTTTCTTTTTCTTTTTTTTTTTTGGTGCTGGGAATTGAACTCCGGCCTTTGTGCTTGCGCAGCAAGCGGCTAAACCACTGAGCTAAATCCCCAGCCCCAATTGGCCTTTCTTTTGTCATTAGGAAGAACATCTTTTTGCAGTTGTTTTTCTAGAGATTGTACCCAGGGTCTTTCATGTGCTCGGGAAGTGCTTTAGCATTGATATGCATCTCAGCCCCAGGAGGAACAAGTTTTTGTTTTTTATTCTTGTTTTTGTTTTTGGAGATAGGGTAGCCAAGCTTTTTTTTTTTTGGTACCAGGGATCAAACTTGGGTACTTGCTCGGAGGAACCACTGAGCTAAATCCCTGGCCTAAAGGGTAGCCAAGCTATATGGCCCAGGGCTCAAACTAGCTATAGGCCAGTTTGGCCTGAAACTCTTGATTCTCCTGCCTCGGCCTACTGTTGTGCCCAGATTGTGAAGTCCCAAAGACCACCAGGAGGCCGTTTCCGATGTAAGGACACGAGGGTCGTTTATTCAAGCTCAAGCAGGGACTCTCAATTGTCACCGACACAGCGGATCAAGATTGAGAGCCCCGAGTTCCAAATTAGCAGGGTTTTTATTGAGAATACAACAAGCTTTGGTCATTAGCAGCCATATGATTGGTTAACATTTAGCAAGTATGAAGTGTAGAATTTTGATTGGCTAGGCTCATTGGGGGTTGAAGGGGATTACGTATAGGTTTTTACAAGAAGAATGGGGACAAAGGTTAGTGGTCTACTGTCACGTACTGATGGTCAGCAGACATCCTGACTAATGGTCACGACCACCCTGTGTGGACAGTCAGCACGTTAACAGATTGTCCTATAGATAGTGGGCCCAGGACATTTGTTTCTAGGGCAAACAGATGGCTGAGTAATAAACTTAGGAATCCTGAGTTGTGGATTACGTCCTTTGTCCCAGTTCAAGCACAAATTTGAGAGAACAAAGGAGACTGCTCCAAAATGGAGTCACTCTGGTCCCACATTACCAAGTGCTGGGATTTCAGGCACGTGCCACCACATCGGGCCATAAAGAACATATTATTTTATTTATTTATTTATTGGTACTGGGGATTGAACTCAGGACTTTTTGCTTGTGAGGCAGGCGGCGGAACCACTGAGCTAAATCCCCAGCCCAATATTATATATTTATTAACAAGTGCTTTTCCTCTTATAAGACTTGCATGTTCTTGTTGAAATCTTCTGTTTTTCAGTATTGCATCTCTAAAGCCCTAGTCATTTTTAAGCACCCAGAGAATGTTTGATGAGTGAATGAAGAATAAGTGAAATAATGTATCTAGAGTACTAAAGTCACAATTAATGATCAAGAAATATTAGTTTAATTTAAGTGTGGAGTTAGGAGTGAGTTCTGGAATGCTCTCAAGTTCTTTTCTTCAGAAAGTGGGCACTGGGGATTTAGCTCAGTGGTTCCAGCGCCTGCCTCAAAAGTGCAAGATCCTGAGTTTGATCTCCAGTAACCGCCCCCCCCCGCAAAAGAAACTAGGATTGTTATTATGAGCTTTAGGATTACAAAAGACATGGCTTCTCCCTGTCTTCTCATTGTATGATTTCCCAAGGGTAATCACACAATTTCTCTGATCTCAGGTTCTCTGCAGCAGTTGAAACATTGTCTGCAAGCTGCTAATACCAACGGGCTATTAGGAGAAGAACCTGAGATTAATTTACAATAAGCATATGTTTGTATATTTTATTTTTTCTTATTTTTGGTACCGGGGATCGAACTCGGGTTCTTGAGCTTGCGCAGCAGGTGGCGAAACCACTGAGCTAAATCCCCGGTCCTGTTTGTATATTTTAGTAATAAAAATAAGTGTAAAAGGTAAAAGCAAACATTTGTAAGAATAGAGGATACTGGGGATGTAGTTCGATGTCAGAATGCTTGTCTAGCATGTGTGAACCCTCGGATTCCATCCCCAGCCACAAAGAGTAGACTACAGAGATAAGAAACGGGCTAGAAAAAAGAAGCTGTTTGCCCTTTTAATGATCTTATATTTCTTTTAAAAATACATGACTTCATACATCGTCCGGCCTCTCTCCTCTTTTCACCAGCTCTCTACTGCCCTCTATTGCTCAGATCGCCTCAATTCATTTCGGACCAACTGCAAATATTAAGGAGGAAAAATACTACTTGTGCTGAATTTCTGACTTTAGTTATCTATATCATCTTCACTGAACCCTGCTTCATTCTTATTTTAGTTTTTGAGATCCTGGAGATCCAACTCGGGCCCTTGCAAATGCTAGGCAAGTGTTCTAGCACTGAGCTACACCCTTAGCCCATTCCTCTACTCTTGACCTGGTTATCAACACAAGAAATCCCACAAGAAGTCTAGTGGGAGATACAGACTCTAGTGCCATTATAGGCACGATGAGAAACATTTCTGAAACCAGAATTGCTCTGAGCCAGGCACTATACTGAGCACATTGTATACAGAAATTTCTACTCTTTGACAGATAATAGATCTACATTTACAGAACAGGAAGCAGGCCCACAGGTGTGATTGGTTCAAGGTCAGGATCTAGTAAACATGGGACATGGATTCTGAACTAAGCTCTGTCTCCCCTCCAAAGCCATGTGTTTCCTAATACATTATAACATAGTTAAACACATAGTGTGGAACACTGAAGTGAGAGCTTTTAAGCCTTTTTTGGGTATATGTGGTTACTGCAACTGGGAAGACCTTATAGAGGAAGAAATTATTGCTTTGGGCCAAGACGTTTGATTCAGGTATCAGGTATCAAGAACACTGGTAAACAGGGTCACAAATCTGGAACCTATTCAGAGAACAAAAGATTGGGAGGGTGGTGGGGAAGAGGGGCAGGAGAGAAGGCCAGAATCAGATTTTACAAGGCCTTGAAGGATAGGGTAAAGAAGGTGGGCTCAAAACTAAAGGCAGGGTGTCCCAACCTCAGGGATGTGTTCTGAGGGCTCCCCCTAAAGGTGGTCAGGGGTATGAGAAGCCATGGGTAAATGGGGCTTATCACCTTCGAAAGTCAATTTTCCTAAAGAGGTTGGAGGAAAGGCAATCTTGTGTTATCCTGTGAAAGATGTACTGGGGAATTGTTTGTGGACTCATAGGAAAAAATGAAACTGAAGGGCCGGGGATTTAGCTCAGTGGTTTAGCCGCCTGCTGCACAAGCGCAAGGACCCGAGTTTGAGTCCCGGTACCAAAAATAAATAAATAAATAAATAAATAAATAAATAATAAAACTGAGAATTCAAAGACATGTCCCACGGGCCAGGGATTTAGCTCAGTGGTTCCAGCGCCTGTCGCGCAAGCGCATGGTCCCGAGTTCGATCCCCGGTACCAAAAAAAAAAGACATGTCCCAACTGCAGTTAAAACCCTCCCAAATAATGAGGTGACTGGATGTGGTCTATTCTTTTTTTTTTTTTTTTTGTACCGGGGATCGAACTTGGGGCCTTGTGCTTCCGCGGCAGGTGCTGGAACTACTGAGCTAGATCCCCGGCCCCTGTGGTTTATTCTTTACTGCCTTTAGGATAAAAATGAAGCCTTGGGAAACATTGCAATAGATGATGGGAAATCATGGATTGAGCTCCACCAGGGTCTCTCGACTAGGTCTGAATGGGAGTCCAGTGAAGAGGATTTGTCTTTGGAGACCTTTCTGTTTCAGCTTTATGAAATTGATGATTCTAACAAAAAGCAACAATAAGCATATTCCTCTTCTGCATCCTTTGACATATTTCTCTTCTACTTCATTCTTTTATTTAACAAATACCTGTTGCACACCAACTTGCTCCTTGCTAGGTGGTGTGGACAAGTAACTAAACCTTTCTGAACCTGTTTCCTCATCTGTAGATACAATACCTACATTGTTACAATGAGTGTCACAGTGAAAATTAAGTGAGTTAATTAGTGGGGCCGAGGATTTAGCTCAGTGGTTTTGCTGCCTGCTGCGCAAGCTCAAGGACCTGAGTTCGATCCCCGGTACCAAAAAAAAAAAAAAAAAAGTTCATTAGTATCAGCTCTTAGACTACAGACTAACACAAAAGTTCAGCACTGTTAAAGGATAGGCTATTATAATAATGTTATTACTATATTCTCTACTCCTGCTATGTTCCAGTCATCATTACCCATGGTGACTCACAGGCACTGATAGGTCTGAAAGAAATACGGAGATAAAGTAGGCTTTCCACTGCATTTGTGTAGACTTACGATTATCTGTTTACCTCGCTACACCTGGCACAGAGAAAACACTCAAAATGCTTGACGAATGAACAAATGTTTACCAATTATTTCAAGTTCTTTACAGGCAGGGACCATAGTTCTACCTCTCATCCCCAGAACCGAACACCTGTTTGAGTACACAGCGCTTAGTGTTTACGGAACTAATGGATGAATCCGTGGATAAATGGCTAAATGACTGCAGGAAGAAAGTCATTAAGGCTAGAAAGCTGGCACTGATAAGGTACTGACTGCACAAAGACCTGCACCAGTTCTGAGAATGGGGTACACATAGGAAAAGGGCGTACCAAGGACTGTGCGAGGGCTGACGGGAAGCCCAGGGTCGCGGGCGGAGAGAGCACAGACGTCATCGCCCCGCCCACCCCGCCCCGGCCCTCCCGGGGGTCACGTGACCGCGGGCGCTCTGGGTGACGTCGGTCGAGCCAGCCGGGGCTATGGCTGGCTTGGTGGACTTCCAGGACGAGGAGCAGGTGAAGTCCTTTCTGAAGAATATGGAGGTGGAGTGCAACTACCAGTGCTACCAAGAGAAGGACCCGGAAGGTGAGCGCCGCCCTCAAAGCCTGGGGACTGCTGGGGACACGTGTGTCGGGTTGTTAGGGAACGGAGGGGACCTGGAGGGGGTCGCGTGGCGGGCGGAGGATGCGGCATGTGGGACACTCACGACCTGGTGTGGCTGGAGGGGCATCTCGTGCCACACAGTCGCGGGTCGGGGATGGGGACCTGCGTCGCGGCGAGGGGAGGGCCCGACGAGTAGGGGTTTGGGGGTAGAGGGACTAGGGCTAATCAGTGAGCGGACGAAATGCTCTGACCTCAGTGAGTTGACATTCTAGTGAGGGAGTCGGTCGGGAAGCATAAGGAAGTAAGTGAAACGCGCGTTAAATACTGATAGTGTAGTGGGGAAAAGAAGTAGGGGACGGATATCAGGAGTTCTGGAGCAGGATTGTAAAGTGATCAAAGTGCATTTGAACAAAGCCTTGAAGAAGGTGAGAGAGTGAATCACGCGGATCCAGTAGGCAGAGCTCCGGCAGAATGTGCCTCGTGTGCAGTGTGGACGTTGAGTTGATGGAGTGTATGGGTGGATGATGGCGACCAGAGACGGCCACCTGGAGGAGCCAAAGTCTTTAGGGTGTTTTCCCCCCCTATTTTATTATTTTTTTTAAAGGGGTAAAACGGCACGGGCTCTACCTTCTAATAGCACGTAGGCTTGTTTCCATAGTATGACTTAACTATTTTATGAAGCTGACCAACTACACAGAGTGGCTCTACAGTATGATGGCTGAAAAAGACCCTCAGATTGTTCTTTGAGAACTAATTCATGTCCTGATTTTAAACAAATTTCAAAGGAATTGGAGTTACAGAGAAGCAGTGTGGTTTGGGGCAGTCTAGAGGTCCAAGCACATGTTGGTTGAGTGGATGTGGTGAGAGAAGAGTACTCTTTTGGAAGGTTAAAGTCAGGACGTATTCAGAATTAAGTGGTGTGTGTGTGTGTGTTTCTTTTCTTTTCTTTTTTTTTTTTTGGCAGTTCTGGGGATTGAACTCAGGGCTTCACACACACTAGGCAAGTGCTGTACCACTGTGTTATATCCCCAGCCCCTAGCATTAAGTTTGAAGAAGGAGCTTGGGCCACAATACATCAGGCTTTGGAGGCCAGGGGAAGGAATTTAAACTTGATTCTTTAGGTATATTGTTTGAGCAGAAAGTTCATGGTAGTGTGCTGTTGAGAATACACAGAGAGGAGGAAGATGGCCATACTAAGGACTGGCTGCAGGAATTAGAAGGAGACCTGAGAAGGGGCTGTGGTTACTATAATTCCTGAATTATTAGTTCCTTGAAAGTCTTAATCTTGCTGTCCGGTTGTGTTTGCCCTTAAAATCTATTGTTATCATTACCTAAGTGTATTCCCTCATACACTTAACTGTCTTCCTGTTCATCGTTCATCCAGTCATACACAAACATATATACCCCAACATTTTAAAATGCAAATTTAATCTTGTCTCTCACACACACACACACACACACACACACACACGGTTCTGGGAATTGAACCCAGGGGCCTGCACATACTGGGCAAGTGCTCTGCACCTGAGCTACATCCTCAGGCCCACTTCTTTTCTTAAAACTCTCTCTCTGGTGGTTTTACTGTTGCATTTAAGGTAAAATCCTATGTAGAGCTGGGGATGTAAACCAGTGGTATAGTGCTTGCCTATTATACACAAGGCCCTAGGTTCAATCCCCAGTACTGGAAAAACAAAATGAAAATCCCCACAAAACTCTTTCTGATACTCTGCAAGGCCCTTTGATCTGGTCCTTGCCTCCCTCTCATTTCTTTTTCTTTTTCTTTTTTTTGGTACTGGGGATCAAACTCGGGTCCTTGCGCTTGCAGGGCAGGCGGTGGAACCATTGAGCTAAATCCCCGGCCCCTCACTCTCATTTCTTATCTCACTCCTCAGCCATGTTATACTTTATTCATGCCAGGCTGATTTCTTCAGATATTTGTATTAATGCTTCTTTTTGCCAGGACTTTCTGCCTCCTTGCCATTTTATTGTCTTTATATGTATTTTGCTGTGCTGATAGAACCCAGGACTTTGTGTTTTTCTCTTCCACTGAGCTACATTTTCAGCCCCTCATTGTCTTTATGCATCTAGTGCTTCTTATTTTGGTCTCAGCTCAGCTGTCACAGTTCTTGGTGAGACCTTCCTTGGTGGCCCTGTCTATAGTAGTTATTTCTTGCATTGTGTACAACAAACTCGTCATCCTGCTTTATTTTAATCGTAACATTTATTGATTGAATACATCTGGTTCACTTATTATATTTCCTCCCCTACAGTGTACATTTTAGGAGAGCAAGTGATTATTCCCAGCATCTGTGTATCTGGTACATGGATATATATGGTTGTTCAAATATTTGTTGAATGAAAATGAGCCAGAAATTATGTAATTATTGGGGATGAAGAGGGAGGGAGAGAGGGGAAAGATGTTAAGAAGGGAAGCTTGCTGAGACTGGGAGATTGTCAAGGAGTGGGGAGAGGAGCCTGTTTTCCAGCTCTTTTGGTAGCTGCTATTTCTACTCCTCTTTGGGCTTTAAGTTCCCAGCTTGGTCAAGGAGTAAGACACAGTCATCACTGCATGACTTGCTGCTACAAGATCAGCCTATGAGCTCTTGGTTTTTTAATGTTTTTACTACTGAACTCAATGAGAGGTTCCAAAGCTAGAAACATTTCAGTCATGGAAGTCAGTGGGTCTTTGGGTCAGACCTACAGGGAGCTGAAGAGCTGGTGGGCGGTAGAGCCAGGGCAGGGGCCAAGGTCTCCCCAGTCTGTGTATTACCCAGTCCCTGACTAAGGGGAGACAAGGCCACTTGTGGGAATGGCTGAGACCACCTGTGTTCTTTGTGGTGGGGGCAGCTTGCCACACTCGAGGAGAACTGGAGCTGGTCCTAAACAAAAGGCTCAGTCTGACCTGTCATATCCAAGCCCTCCACACAGCAGAGGAGTAGCCCTAGGTGTGAACAGTTCTTGCCTTCTGCTCACAGGTTGCTATCGGCTGGTGGACTATCTGGAAGGGATCCAGAAGAATTTTGATGAAGCTGCTAAGGTGCTGAAGTTCAACTGTGAGGACAACAAACACAGTGATAGCTGCTACAAACTGGGGGCCTATTACATAACTGGAAAAGGTACGAGGGGCCTGCTTTCTATGGCCATTACTGGCATCACATCTGAGCCAGAAGCTGTGCACTATCCTTAGAACTGCCCTCAGACAATAGTCACCATGCCGTACCTCAGATCTACTCATTCTGCCCAACTGAAACTTTGTCACTTTGGCCAGCAAGTCCCCACTCCCCAGACTCTGGCAACTACCACTCTACTCTCTGCTTCTATGAGTTTGGCTTTTTTAGATTGGATATATTAGTGAGATCATGCATTAGTCTTTCTGTGCCAGGCTTATTTCACTTAGCAAATGTCTATCATAAGGGCATTTCATCAGTGTTGTCACAAATGGTAGAATTTTCTTTTTTAAGGTTGAATAGTATTCCATTGTGTATCTACACTTTATCCATTCTTCTGTCGATGGACAATTAGGTTGATTCCATATTTTGGCATTGTGAATTATGCTGCAATGAACATGGGAGTATAGATACCTGCTTGAGATGCTGATTTCATTTCCTTTGGATAGCTACCCAGAAGTAGATTGCTAGATTTTAAAACAATTCTATTTTTATGTTTTTGAGGAATTGCCATGTAGTTTTCCATGGTGCCGTACCAGTTTATATTCTTACCAACAGTGTAAGGGTACCTGTTCCTCCACATCCTCACCAATACTTGTTACCTTTTATTTTCTTGGTAATAGCTATTTTAACACATGTGAGGTGGTATCTCATTGTAGTTTTGATTTTCATCTCCCTGACTAGTAACATTGAACATTTTGTCACAAATCTGTTGGCCGGTTTTATGTCTTTTCGGAAATGTCTGTTCGGGTCTCTTATATTTATCTGGATTCTTTTTTTTTTTTTTTTTGGTGGTACTGGGGATTGAACCCAGGGACCACTGGGCTACATCCCAACCCCCCTTTTAAAATTTTATCTTGAGGCAGAGTCTTACTAAATTGCTCAGGCTGGCCTCAAACATTTGATCCTCCTGCCTCAGCTTCCTAAGTAGATGGGATTACAGGCCTATACCACCATACCCAGCTAATGGGTTATTTTTAAAAAGATTTTTATTAGTACATGTTTGTAGTACATAATGTTTACATTCATTTTGGGGAATCGGTACATGTATATAATGCATCTTAATTCTTGTTTTCCCCTTTCTCCCCTACCCTTCCCTGTTTTTTTTTTTTTGTCAGAATCAGATTTATTTCTTTTATGTCTTTATCAAATTAATTATCATAAACAGATTAACAGGCCTAAAAACATTTAAAACGCATAAAACAATTTATACTAAATCAAGGTACACTTTAAGATAGATTGGTCGGGCTGGATTACAATAACTTTCTTTTTTTTCTCGTACTGTCTGTCTTTAATTTTGCACTTTATTTATATATTGGCTTTCTCATATAAGAGAAACCATACGATAGTTAAGCCTGTGTGTCTGATTTAATTCACTGAACATTATGGTCTCAAAGTGCACCCATTTTCCTTTAAATGATTCCAGTTTATCCTTCTTTATGGCAGAGTAGTACTCCATTGTATAGAAGTACCACATTTTTTAATGCATTCATTTTTTGATGGCCATATAGGCTGCTTTCAAGATTCAACTATTATAAATTATGCTACTGTAAACATGGGTATGCATGTATCACTCTAACATGATGTCTTTAACTCCTTCAGGAAGATAGAAGAGGAATAGCTGAGTCAAATGGAATTTCTTGTTTTAGTTTTTTTGAGGAATTTCCATACTATTTTCATAGTGGTTTTACCAGTCTAGTTTATAGTCCCACCAACAATGAAGGGTTCCTTTTTCCCTGCAGCCTCTTCAGCATTTATTGTTTGATTTCTTGAAGATAGTCATACTTTCTGCAGTGAGATGAAATCTCAGTGTTTTAATTTGCATTTCTCAAATGGCCAGTGATGCTGAGCATTTTTTTCATATACTTATTGGCCATTTGTACTTCTTTATATGAGAAGTGTATGTTCACTTCATATGTGCATTTTTTGAGTCTTTAAATTTAGGGGATCTAATTTTTTTTAGTTCTTTATATATTCTAGATATCAGTCCTTTGAAGAGTAACTGGCAAAATTTTTCTCTCATTCTGTACATTGTCTCTTTGCTCTGTTGGTTGTTTCCTTTGCTGTGAAGAAGCTTTTTAATTTGATGTGATGCCATTTGTTGATTCTTGGTATTTTTTCTTCTATAACTGGGGTTCTGTTCAGCAAGTCCTTGCCTATGCCTGTGTTTTCAAGAGTTTTACCTCTTTTATATTCTAGCAGATTAAGTGTTATCTGTTTTAATATTTAGATCTTTGATACATTTAGATTTTAGTTTAGTGCATGGTGACAATATGGGTTAAGGTTCAATCTTTGGGATCTGGATAGCCAGTATTCCCAGCACCATTTGTTAAAGAGGCTATTTTTCCTCCAGCAGAAATATTTTGCACCTAGTCAAAGATAAGATAGCTGCATGTGCCTGGAGTTGTTTTTGCATCCTCTATTCTGTTCCATTTATCTACAAGTCTGTGTTTTTGGGGGGTTTTTTTGGTGCCAATACTGTGCTGTTTTTATCGCTGTAGCTTTGTAGTATAACTTGAAGTCTGTGATTGTGATACTTCCTCCTTGTCCTTGTTACCTAGGATTGCTTTTGCTATTTTAGGTCTCTTCTGGTACCATATGAATTTTAGGATTGCTTTCTCTAGTTCTGTGAGAAGTGCTCTTGGTATTTTGATTGGGATTGCATTAAACTGTATAATAGTTTTGGAAGTATGGCCATTTTGACAGTATTGGTTCTGCCTATCCAAAAATGAGATATTTTTTCATTTTCTGATTTCCTCTTTGATCTCCTTTTTCACAGTACTCAAGTCTTTGCTGTAGAAGTCTTTAATTTCCTTGGTTAGGTTAATTTCTGAGTATTTAATTTTCTTGGTGGTATTATGAAAGGTACTGTTTCCCTAGTTTCTCTCTCAGTGATTTGATTATTGGTGTACAGGAACGCTATTGCTTTTTGAGTGTTGATTTTGTGTCATGCTATGCTACTGAGTTTGGTTATTCTAGGAATCTTTAGGTGGAGTTTTTGGGGTCATCTATGTAGAGGATCATGTTATCTGCAAATAATAATAATTTCTTCCTTTCCTATCCATATCCCTTTTCTCTTGTCTAATTGCTCTGGCTCATGTTGTGAAAACTGTATTAAATGCAAGTGGTGACATCTTTGTCTTGTTCCTGATTTTAAAGGGAAAGCTTTCAGCTTCTCTTCCTTTAATATGATGTTGGCCACAGGGGCTGGGGATTTAGCTCAGTGGTTCTGGTGCCTGCCACACCAAGTGCAAGGTCCCGAGTTCCATCCCCGGTACCAAAAAAAAAAAAAAGATGTTGGCCGTTGGTTTGTCATAGAAGGCCTATATCAAATTGAGATAAAGGCCTTTTGACCAGGTGTGGTGGTGCATGCCTGTAATCCCAGCCCTCGGGAAGCTGGAGCAGGAAGATTGCTAGAAGTTTGAGGCCAGCCTGGGCTGCATAGTGAGTTCAGGGTCAGCCTGAACTATAGAGCAAGATCCTGTTTCCAAAAAAGAACAATGTTCTGTACATATTTTATTTAGGGTTTTTGATCAGGAATGAATGTTGGATTTTGTCAAATGTGTTTACTGCATCTGTTGAGATGGTTATGTGGTTTTTGTCCTTGCTTCTGTGTAAGTAGTACTGTATTGCATTTATTGATTTGCATATGTTGAGCCATCCCTGCATCCCTGGGATAAATCCTACTTGGTTATGATGTATGATCTTTTTGATCATTTGCTATATTCTGTTTGTCCTTGTCATGTTGAGGATTTTTTCATTTATGTTCATTAAAGAGATTGGCCTATAGTTCTCTTTTTCAGTTGGGTCCTTTTCTGGGTTTGGAATCAGGGTAATACTTGCTTTCATGAATGACTTTGGGAATACTTCTTCCCTTTTAATTTCATTAAAGTTTTGAGGAGTATTGGGGTTAGATATTTGGTAAAGTTCTTGTAGACTTTGGCAGTGAATCTGTTGGGACCTGGGTTTTTCTTAGTAGTTTTAAAATTACTTCTTCAATTTCTTTGACTGATATTGCATTATTCAAGATTCTTATATCTTCTTGGTTCAGCTTTGGTAGTTATGTTACCCAGTTGTGGTATTCTGTTACAGCATCAGAAAGCAGACTCAGAACATTTGTCTGTCTTTCTTTTTGTTTCCTGTGTTTTGGGAGTCACATCCAAAAAACCATTGCCCAGACCGATATCAGAAGCTTTTTCACTGTTTTCTTCTAGTAGTCTTAATCCATTTTAAGTTTATTTATTTATTTCTTTATTTATTGGTACTGGGATCGAACTTGGGTCCAGCAGGCGGCAAAACGACTGAGCTAAATCCCCTGGCCCTTAAGTTTATTTTTGTATATGGTGTGAGATAAAGGTCTGATTACATTTTTCTACATGTAGATATCCACTTTTCCTGATAGTATGTATTGAAGAGACTGTGCCTTCCTTGCTGTGTATTCATGGTACCTTTGTCAAAGATCAGTTGATCATAAAAAGCATGGATTTATTTCTGGATTTTGTATTCTGTTCCACTGGTTTATATTGTCTGTTTTTATGGTCATGCCATGCTGGGGTTTTTTTGTTTGTTTGCTTTGGTTTGGTTTGCTTTCAAAAGCTATAGAAGCTTTTTTTTTTTTGCTTTCAAAAGCTTCAGAAGCATTTTTTTTTTAAAGCAAAACTTTTATTGGTACATTTTAGATATACATAATGTTGTACCTGTACATGATATATCTTGCTGCTTCTTTTTTTTCCCCATTCCCCCACTCCTTTTGACATCTCTTCCCCTTTATTTAAAAAAGCTTTGTAAAAAAAAAAGCTTTGTTTCCATTTTTCCTTCTATTTTCTCTTTTTTTTCCTTGTCCCTTCTTTCCTTTCCCCCTACCCCCTACCCCCTCGCTTGTTCCTCTTCTCATTTGAACATTTTCTTCCCATTTCCCAATATCTATTATACATTTTAGTCCTTATTTT